GTCAAAATACAAATAACGAGTAAAAATACTCAGCGATACTACACAACAAAACGTCTAATAAGTTATTTATTATCCAACACGCCAAACTGTTATTTCAGTGCGGGCGAATTTCGCGGATATTTATTTACGGGGAGTGCGTGACAGAAGTATGCGAAGCGGAACGGAATTGGCGCGTTGTTGTGTTGCTGTTTCTATTTTCTTCATTAAATGAAGAAATTTTCTGGTCGTCAAGCTGTTTTTCTTCATTCGATTCATCTAATGAGCTTGGATCTATATTTGCCAGCCATTCTGACTCTTCTTCGTCGAAAATATGATTCAAATTGTCCGCCATTTGTTTCTTTTTCGTAACTACAATCCAATTCTTCGCTTGCGCGATGCGAGAAAACCTGTTTAACCGGTACTCTACAATAGACGAGTACAAATACCGCGTGATATTTGTACTTGTCTATGGCGTCATTTGTACTCGTCTAGGTGTAGCTGGATGATAATTCTTGTTATTTAACAATATCGATTTTTAATCTTAATAATTGAACCATTTTGGATATGAACTAATTATGGTTGGCAAGTAGTTTTGCATTATAAGGCACTTTTCGTGGGTACATTATTGACCTGATGACGTTTGTTCTCTAAAGTTCTTTTAGAACAACAGCCAGCCCCAGGTAAGACCTAGTTCTGGGTTCCATCGAGGCCTTCAGGGGGAAATGGCGGACCTACTGGGGTAAGATCTTATATTTCGATTGTTATGTAAGCTCTTCGACCGCAATAATTGAGGTGACTGATTAGTTGCAACTCAAATGTAAGTTTAAAAAACATTTTGATATTGCTTGTCATGAAATTAAAAAATCTGGTTCCTAAAAAAGTACGAAGTTTTTAACGCCAGAAATAATCAGACAGATTTCCAGGACACTGTTCGGGGATTTGTAACTTGCAACCCATTCTCTGCTCGTTGCTTACAATGCTAATGCTGATCTGCCCTTTAAGAGTAAATGAAGAGTCAAAAAGTAAACAGGAATTTGAAATCCTCTTTCTTCGTATCGGAAACTTGATAATTTCAAATCCGTTGTCTTCTATTCTTTTTCAATTTTAAATTCATAACAAAGTTTTCGGCATCATGCTCCGGCCGATAAAATTTTTCAGTCTACACTTCGCTTTTTCTTTCTGACCCTTCTTCCTTATTTGCAACGAATTTAGAATGTCAATGGAACTGAATTAATATCAAAGGTACGCTCATTATCCAAACATTTAAAAAACGAAAACCCTTACCAGAGTCTGAAATTGACTTTTACTTTAAAATAATTTGATAGGACAAAGCTTGTCCAACAAAAGGGCATTCCTTAGTTCCACTTGCACAGCAACCGGTCGCAACAAATCTTGAATAGTATTACAAGTTAAAATAACTTCCTAGCGGGCACTATTTGGTAGAGAGTAGGAAAAGAAGAGGCAAATGGCGAAAAACACATCTGAATCATTCAAACTTCTAGCTGGTGACATGAGAAATTCTATAAAGCAGCCCTATTCATTTTCGATCTTATCAAATCCTCACGTTTTTATTTTTCACTTTGGTCTGCGTGCTAGAGAAGTCAAACATGTTCCAGATACGGTCATTCGATTCTTAAAAATACTGTTCTCTGCATTGATACGGATAAATTTGAATTTTCTGAACTACACACACAAATGCGAAAGAGAGGTATTGGTACAGTTTTTGCTTCTGATCATTCAGCGTATGGTCTGAACCCTAAATTAAAATTTTACCATTACTTGTGCCTTTCTTTAACTCATCCATGCTGGAAGCAATGAATGAGGTATTGTGGTGAGGCAGATTTGACGGAAGTTGTAGACCGTGAACGGAAGTTGACGGAAGTGAACTGGACCGGAAATGATTTGTGATATTCCTCACCACACCTTCCCCGCTCCGCCGTAATAGTAGATCCTACATAAGCTTCGATGTTGCTCTTAGCAAGTGCAAAGAATGAAATAATCTTTGAGTGGTGTGATGAATAAATTAACTTCAACTCATAGTTTCGCAACTTTCTAAAATCGCAATATGGATTGAGAAGCCGAAGTGTTTGCAACTTGGGGCCCCGATCGGATTTAGCGCACGCTACTACGTTCATGAGACAAACAAAGGAAGCCATCTTGGAAAATCGCTGATCTTTTTTGAGTTCGTACTGGTAAGTACGTGAATCATTGCTTTATTATTGTGCTCTTCCTTTGGATACGCACACATTAATAATAGCGGCCAAGATAGTCACAGTAAAACATTTGAGCCCCTGTTTCGATGCAGACTCGAGGCTCACTTTTACGTACAGATCGATACAGAACTGCTTTGCAATCTGCTTTACAATTTGCTTTACAATTTGCTTTACAAGACGAGCCACTAAACAATCTTTTATTAAAACTTGCTCGAGATGGTTGCCATTCGCATTAGATCAATCACAGGCAATGTTATCAAGTTTATCACGACGAAGTTATATTTCCCCGGAGGGAAGGTACTTACCTGACGGGGAGATGTAGTTCTTCGAACTTCCTCGCAGACTGATACGAGCGATACTGGTGCAGAGCCAAGGACCCCGTATTGCTTTTTGGTGGACTGGGACCACGATGCCAGAAGGATATTAGTCACCTCTTCTGGGAAACCCGCTGCGTGATAGGCTGTCGCGAAATCGGCCAGACAGTCAGGTTGAGTGACTGCCACAGGAGATGAACTGCCTCCGGATCGAAAGGTAGCAACAGCAGTGACCTCTCCTTGGAAAGTGTGTATGGTACCTCGGTCAGCATCAGCTGGATCTGAGCATACCATGGCTGCCCCGGCCAGTTCGGGGCCACCAGTAGGGCAGTTGCTTTGTCGCTTCTCAATTTCTGAAGAATTCGGGGACAGGAGTACCACTGGGGGATGGATGAAACTCTTCCATTGACTCCAGTCTAATTGGAAAGCATCCACTGCTGAAGCTCCGGGATCCGGAAGCCGGGACACATACGGAGGCACCAGGTGTTTCAAGCGCGACGCAAAGAGATCTATCTCCTGAACATAGAAGTGTTGAGTTATGTCTCTAAAGACATCCTTTCGAAACATCCACTCCGTGTGGGCATGGAATTTCTTGGAGACTGTATCTGCTTCGACATTCAACACTCCTGGTAAGTGACGGGCTGTTACCCAGGAACCTCTTGTAACCAGGAAGGACCACAGTTCCAAGGTCAGTAGAGACAGGCTCCGTGACCGAGTACCCCCCTTCTGTTCACATACGCAACTGCCGTGGTGTTGTCCGTCTCCAGAAGAATATGATGAGGGCAAAGTTGGCCCAGACCCTGGGGTAGTAACTGAGTTCCTTCCCCCAGGAATGACTTCAAGGCAAGAATCGCTGCCTTGAGTTCCAGGCAATTTATGTGCTGATCCGCCTCTTCCACACTCCAGCGGCCCCCGGTTTTTCTGCCCAGGCAGGTTGCACCCCACCCCTGCAGGGATGCATCGGCCTTGATGGTGAGGTCAAAGGGAGGAGAGATGATGTCCTGGCTGTTGCAAGAGAGTGGCGGTGGAGACGTTCACCACGTTAGGTTCTCCGGAGAAGGATGAGACAAAGGTGTCCGACTCTTCGCCTCCATCCTAAACGGTGTAGAAATAGGGCCTGCTGCCGTTTTAAGGTTCTGTAATGAGGCGGTGCCACCCATAGACCTGACCGGGCTGCGTGGCTCATGCGGCCTAATAAGCTTGACAGCTCCCCTAGCGATTTTTCCCTGGACTCTAGCATTTCCTGGCACGCTCCCTTAATCCGATGGATCTGTTCCTTGGCAGTGCAATGGACATTTGAGTCGTATCTCATACAATACCCAGGAAAACTAGGCGATTCATGGGGGCTGGGGAGCATTTCTCGAGTCTCATTATCAAACCCAGGCTGGACAAAAGCCTCCGTACGTAATGGAAGATCTCCACTAGAGTATCCTTCTGATGATGAATCAGGAGAAGATCGTCCAAATAAATTACTGAACGTATGCCCTCTGAGCGCAGTTTCACTATAACGGGACAGAGGAGTCTGGTGAAGACTCTGAGAGCCAGTGAGAGGCCGAATGGGAGGCAAGAGAATTCGAAAGTTGTTCTCTCGAACTGGAAGCGTAAGTATTTCCTCGATTCCTGGTAGATTAGGACTGCGAAGTAGGCATCCTTGAGGTCGAGTTTCATCAGGTAATCGCCCTTGCGGAGGAGTGAGCGGGCCGTGTGGAGCCCCTCCATCTTGAACTCTCCTTGGAGAAAAATCTGTTCAGTGACTTCAAGTTGATCCCGGGGCGGAATTCCCCTGTCCCTGATCCTTTCTCCACTAAGAAGAACGTTGAGATGAACTGCTACGGGAAAGGATTCACTCTTGAAACCGCCTCTTTGGAAATTAGAGACCAAATGGCCTCTCTCATCAATTCTGTCGGTCGTCTATTCTGGACAACCGTGGGCGAGCTCTCCACTGACGTGGGGTTCTGACAAAGGGTATCTTGTACCCTGAAAGAGTTTGAAGGATCCATTTGTCTGTTGTAAGAATGTTCCAATTCGTCAAGAAAGTTCCAAGTGAGTTTGCCGTTCGATTCTCCGAGAGGGAGAGGGGATGAGCAGGTGACAGAAAGCCAGCTGCTAGTATTGTTAACCGACTGGTTGGAAGCTGAGGTACGCCTGGCTCCTCCACTGGCTCTGCTGTACTTAGCACCTGGGCCACCCGACTTGTAGGCCCATATTATTTTCTTGTCTGCTCCAGCCTGTTGTCCCCGCCTGAAGGTGGAGTCACGGAAGGACTGGGACCGACCTAATGGTTTGTTTTGGATATATCAACAAAGTTGAAATGGTAAATTGGTCACCGTAACGATTACAAACGCTGACGTTACGAGCATTAGCCCTTCGACGGAGTGAATAGAGGAATTGTGGATTGTGTGTGCTTTTAAAGGCAGAAAATGGAGCTACGTTATTGGTGGGAACATGGCAACGAGAAAAACTCGAATGAATTAGAGGAATGAAAAGCGTTTGTTGATACCTGTGGGATTTAGACTGCCGCTTTGAAAGATGAGCTTTTGTTCAAGAGTTTTACGACTTTCCGTGCTACCTAAGTGTAAGGAAAGACTGCAGATTGCCATATGTTGCTTAGAATGATTAGGTAAATTAAAATGTCTAGCGACTGGTTTCGATGTGTCCCTGTCATTCCTTTCCACGTCACAAAGGTGTTCTCGGAATCGGTCACCTAGTCTTCTGCCTGTTTCGCCGATGTATATCTTGCAATGTAACAAGACCCCAGAAGAAAGAAACTTTGCCAGAAGACCCGGGAGAGCCTTCGCAATGGACTCCTCTATACTCTTCTCCAGCGCAGGTGAAGCGACCTCCGCCATTCCGGTCGGAGCCGACTTACTCAAATTGACCTAAAGGACAATAAAAGCGGTTAATGACACATGCCTTTGGGATATAAACATCGTCGGTGCGAAAAGGAACCTACGAAAACATCTTGCTCAATTCGCTGAAAAGAGTTGCCATCTTCTGTCAAAGAGGTTATAGACAGAAAATGAAACACAGCTTACGTTCTCTGATGTAGAATCAGTCATGATGAGCACAAAATGTAGGGGAAAACGTAATAAATAATTAATAAAATGAAGACGTGATCGACCGTAGCACGCCACGAGCGAAAGAGAAAACAAGGAACGCCTTGAACTTTTTTGATGTGGTACCCAGACCGCGCGCGGCGCGCTCTGCACCAGTATTGTGAGTTTCAGTCGGAGAGGGAGTGAAGAAGAAGCTGTCCCCCTTCGATAATAAATTTCGTTTGCTCTTTTCCAAACCACAAGCAGCAACAACTACCCCAACAGCACATGTGGGTGATACGTACGATGCACGATCCTCGCAGTAGAGAGCGCTATTTATGCAATAGCGAAAATCAGACCTGAAAAAAGTCAGGCCTGTACGGGATTCGAACCACTGACCTCTGCGATACCAGTGCAGCGCTCTACCAATTGAGCTAACAAGCTAACTGGGAGTAGGCCGTTAAGTTGATTCGTAATTAACCCGTGAAGATAAATCATATACAATGAATATATGAGGTTCATATATTTTTTATGAACTTCATATATTCATTGTACATGAGTGTGAGTTAAATGAATCACAAGATGAACACAGCAGCATCGAGGGAATGGCAACTTTCTCTTCGCCGAACGTTAATGAAGGCTCAGCACTGGTAAAATGTAAAGATAAAGTACACTGATTTCGCTTTGACATTGATGCTAATATGTGTCAACATATCGTAAAGCGAAGGAGTAGAGCGGTGTATAGAATTCTTACAACTCAGATAAAGCACGCTCCTCTAAAGAGCAAAAAATGTAATATTAAAATGCAAAAACGTAAACGAAAAGCTGCTCTACATTCATCAAAGCCTCATGCATAGCAGGAAAAGAAGTGCGTACCATAGGTTAGATAACGAATTCTTTGCCATTTCTGATCATAATGTCAAGTCTTAACATGGCAGAAAACAAACAATCAAATCTTCATTTTCTTTCTTAGAATCTTTCAGGATTTGATTTCATTCTAAGTTTTGATAAAAGTTCTACTGCCCTCATTTCATTCAGCATGAGAAGCACTACATCAAGACAGGATGCATGATAATCAACTTGAATCTCGTATTATAACAATACTCGGTTTCAATTAATATTTGGGTGTTTATGTTTAAATCTCATTTTGAAATAAAGATATTTTGTGTTCAATTCAATTTTTTTCGATGAATGTGACAATATAACCACCCAACATTCCACCTTACTTTTCTTATCCTACGACACTATCTATTTTTTTGAGAAGCAGGGGGATGCTCCTGGGATTTAGTGAGGGAGGGCATGCAAAGATAGTTGGGCTTCAAAGCATGGGAAAGTCAGCCCCAAAAAATAGGCTTTAAATGGGAGGTCACTCTCTAATGATCACAGTGACTATAAAGTGTACATAGCATAAGAATTTAGCATGAAAAGTTAGGCCAAATTTCCTATTCCATTACCTCCAAAACAGCATTTCTGACTTACTGAAAATTAACATATTCTCCATGGAGCATGCCCATACTGAAAATTAACATCTTCTCCAGGGAGCATGCCCATGACACCCCCCTCTCATTAACCCCCTAGTTTGTGATTTAAATACAGTTAACTCACATAATCATAAAGCTCATTCTTAAAAAAAAATACCAGTACAACATTACAATATAATCAATAACAATCTTTTTTTTTCCATTTGGTTGCGTTGACCAGCAATAACAAGTACAATGAAAATGTTTCCGTGAATATACCGAATGCAAATATGGCGATCCATTTGAGTTGCCATTGTTCTGGACTCACTAGCCTCTCACACATGTAATAATCCTTTTGTGTTTCCACGTGATGACGAGGCTAGTGAGTCCAGACAAATGGCAATTCAATTTAGACGCCATATTTGCATTCGTTGTATGAACTGGCTCTAAGAGCCCTTTGATTTTAAATATATTCATCTCCTGTTGAGCCACATATATATCTCACGTACTAAAGAAATTTAAATACATAATGCTCACAAACGGAACTGCTGCTGAATTTGTTCTACTTAATTGAATTTGGTCTCAGTCATTGCAAAATGGCTTTTTTAAAGAGGACTAGGCTAATAAGTTTTATATTATAATCACTGCACGATTTAATCGTTTGAACTGGTTATTTCTTAAAGTGGACGAAGCAGACGTATTACTCAACCTGTGATATTTATGCGGATGCATTTCCTCAACCAAGTAACTGGCTTAGAAGTGATCCCATCGAGGTCCACAGTGGGCTGAAAACAGTCCTCGTTACCATTAAGTACCGAACACTTAACTGTTCGTCGTATTCCGTCAAAAGAGGGATATATTGCAAAAACTATTTCCACTTATACGAACATCAGTCCTGGCAACCAACGGGACCCGACCCTCTAACAAACACTGCTAGTTATGACAAGATTGCGAAGACAGCTCCGTCAGATTTTGGCATCAAAGTGAATCAAACGCTTCGTATAGAAGTTAAAAGAAAATACATCGTCTTGGCATTTCATGACCAGGGTTCATGTAGTGTCCTTTTCTCCGTCACTGTTAGTTATTACGTCTGCCCAGGACTGACTCATATTAGTAGCTTGGTTTCCCTACCAAGAACAGTAGCTCCAGCAAACAACTCAAAGCCAGTTGAAGTTGGCTGTGCTACTGATGCTTTTAACAAGCAAGGCACTCTAAGCCTGGATTGTCAGAGTGATGGGGTCTGGAATATCAGTTCACTTAATGGAAGTTGTTTATGCAGGGAGGGGATGGAAAATACAGTGGGAAAATGCGAAGGTACACCACGTAATAAAATAGATTAAGATAACTGTGGCAGTGCGGTTTTAAATGATGATCCATAAACTACTTTACATATGTGATTTTCGTCTAATTAAGTTTTTCAGGCCCACACAGTGCCAAAAAGAGTGCACATGCTTGTAACGCGCAAGACATTTTACGTGCGCAAAGGAATGGGAACGAAAATACTTTTAAAGTAACACTATTGCGTAAAAATCGGCTTGTTTTTAAATTCCTAATGTCTGTTTTCATTTTGCGAGGATAATTTCAAACCAAAACAGATAAGGTTGTCGTTCTCAGGAGAAGTTTTTTCGAACCTCCCCCGTCACACTTCTCATTAAAAAAAAATGTTGCAGAAACAAGTGTGAATTTAGGTACTGAAGTAACAGCTGCCATTGCTTTAGCTGTCTGGATAAATGTAAACTATTTATCCTTCAGACTTATTCAGGAGAAAAAACTCCCTCAGATTGTTCACTTGGTTTACATTAATAACCGCCCAATAGGGTATAAAACGATGTTCTGTTCGTTCCCAAACGAAATTCATTCACGCTGGAACCACAAAACTCCCCTCTAACGCGCCAAATCCGCCGAGCATGCACACTAATTTGCTGCTGTGTCCTTCAGACCAGGAAAAAGATTAGACAAGCCCATAATTTTTTTCAAATGACTACATCATGGTTTGTCCAACTTGAAAACCCTCATGGAGTCGAGACTGCATGTCACTGAAATGCGTCAAGTTAGGAAATAAAATAGGAAATATGGCAAACATGAGCTCGGTAACGAAGTAGAGAAATTCTAGTCATGAGACAGAAAAAAAAACACCTTTCTCTCAGGAATGTTTATCTTAGAGACCTCTTGCTAAATTTCCTAGTTTCCTCATTCAAAATTCAAGCAAGTCTTTGCCATCTTCGTTTCTATTTTGTCTTAATATTCCTAATTTGTTGTTTATCTCAAAGCCAACCTACCCTGAGACATAAGCAAAAGCATTAGCGTACGAAAACCCGAATTTATCTCAGCTTAAGTAAAAAAATGGTGGAAACTTTTACTTTAAACAGAAAATCTTATCAACTGAGTACGTGAGAATCCCATTTGAAACTAAATGAAGAATATTTTAGTAGGTGGTAGTTTGGAAAGTGACATGTTTGTGATAGGAATGACTTGTATCATAAACGGAGGTCATGACTGATGGCTAAGGGCTTGGCCTCCGTCGCTAGTTACTGCATATAGAAAAGGCTTAACTCATTCGTCTTTCCCTGAGACTGACCTTTTAAACGTAAGCTAACTCACCTGCTTTTGAAAATTCTTGAAATTGAGGAGATGAATGTTGACTTGCGCTTCCGTGACCTTTCTAGTTTATATTTGTAATTCAACTGATTAGCTTTCTCTTTGACCTGTTAAAAATCCCTTGTGTGACTGGCTCAGTTAAAACCTTTAACATGATTATCACTACTATTATTTATTTCTATTTGTTCATTTATTTATTTATTTAATTGTTGCGTGTGCGTGTGTGTGAGTGTGTGTGCGTGTGTGTGAGTGTGTGTGTGTGTGTGTGTGTGTGAGAGAGCCTAAACAGTGTCTGTGTAGGTAGCCCGCCTAGAATAGCTTTGCTAACTGCGGGCTACAAAGGCCTTTATTTCTTTAATTAAAAAAATAATAATAAAATAAAGTCAAAGGTACTGACGAAAAATTTTAAATTGACTTTATTTATCTTTTTATTTCACTTCCTTCTTCAGATTGCCCAGAAGGGAAATACAACAACGGAAATGGCTTTAATTGCACAGGTACGGATGCAAATACAGTTTTGTAGTTTGAATGGTACCTGTCCAGTTCAATGTTATGGTGCGTAGGTGTTTTCCACTCTTGATATCTTAAACTGTGTCAATTAGTCGTCGATATCTCGAGATTTTGGTTCCCTTGTGATCAGTTTTGGATCTTTGGAATCATTTACACCTTGCACAACAGTCACTTCCACTGTATGAACAACTGTTAGACGAAAAATCATGATTTTGTTTCGGGTAATTTTGTTCATAAAACTTGCTATGGTTTCAGTTTGCCGATAAAAACTGAAAAAAAGAAATCCTCGCTCAATAACTTCTACCTCTCCTACGTCGCCCAAAAGTCGTCCTCAATTCCGAGTAGTACTCGGAAAACATGTTCCAGCTGAGCCGGTAATCACACAGCAGAGAGATTGATCATGACGTTAAAGACTCAACGATTTTATGTCGGATATACTTTTCAAATTCCCTTTTCTAGCTCTATTTTGCTGGCTTTTACGAAGTTTTTAGCAAATCTAACGAAGAATTGCTCGAATGATCTTCTGAATAATCTGATAATAGTATGTTTCGTCAAACTATATTAATCTGAACTTGAAGACGTGACTACGGGTGGTACATCTAATTGTCTAATTTCATTCTCCCTTGAAAAAGTGTTTTCTGATTAAGTGCATTAGGTGTTTGCCTTTCAGAAGTAGCCAGAGGAACGATGAACGCCATTGTTACAATGATAAAGTTAGGTAATACCTAAAAAACACGTTCTCGTGTATATTAATTGAACCTTATTGAAATAAATCGAATCGTCTCCATATTTCGACATAACATGTACTCAATCGAACCGTTCATACAGTATGTATTGAACCGCAAAGATATGCATATACAGTCCCACTCAAATGAAATGAATCGGACTGAGTTCGTATGAGTTACACACATATCAACAACACAACTTACATAATTCGAACCTCATCTATGTTTACATCTAATATAGAAGACATGGCCGTGTGTGAATATGGAGTTTATCTTTGAATGTTAATAGTATCTTTCAGACATTTTGTCATTTTGTTAGCCGGCTAACATAGCCATTGCCGTTTTATTTTAGAATCAATCGATGACCAAATAAAATATATATCTTTCGTTCGTATTTTTAACCATAAAAAGTGAAAAAGCCAGCGGAACACGTTTACTAACACATCAACAAGATCGTGCTAAGTACGGTACCAATCGGCTGAATATGGAGGATATCTTGGCCCTAATCTTTCATCTGCGTAGTTGCCTCATAGCAGTCCTCGTAAAAGTATTCGTAGAAAATTGAAAAAAAAGTCTGCTCAAACCGAACCCTTGCTCCCAGTTCTTTACTAGAATGGCACTTGAGCAGTATAGTTTGAGCGTGTGAAAACTTTAATCCGGTACTCTTTACAGGTTAAGTGCCATACGCGAAAACAACGTACAATTCTTGAACACAACGACACTAGAACTCAAAGAAAACTCGGCGAACCGCCATAAACACGTTTCATCTCTCTCTCTCTCTCTCCCTCTCTCTCTCTCTCTCTCTCTCTCTCTCTCTCTCTCTCTCTCTCTCTCTCGGGGAGGTATCGTACCCCAAAGATACATGGGAAAAATCTCTGACAGAGCGATTGTTGCAGTCTTGCAACACAAATCTGTTATTCTATACTGATATTGGAAGTCGAACAGCCACCATGAGTAGAGTGTGGATCTCTATTACTTCCCAATGATAACTCAATTTGTAAGTTTCTACGTTAAATCTTTTTGACGTCACTTCCTTTCAAATCGTACTTGGTCATAGATGAACTTACGGAGAATGATCAAATAATGGCGGGCGCGAAGTCTCGAACCTCCAAAAACAACCACTCCTATCCTTCGTAAAGAGAAATTATAATTAATTTTGGAGGTTAGGCGAGAGAGAGAGTCACAAAGTGCAAGAAAATGTTAAAAAAAGATATATGTGAAAAGTTGTAACTGTTGTAGCCTTACATTTATAGCAGAGGCAACACCTAATAATTTAGAACGTTTCCATAAGACTTTCTCAGACCGACTAACTTGGAAAATTCTGAGTATATCTTAAGGAAATATGTGTAATGGCCTACTTCATCGCGTGGTCGCTTGATTCACGAAGGTGGTTTAATTTCAAATAATGAACAGTTCTCTTTCAACATATCGAAAAATGGTCGTAACTTAAACCCTTGACACGCGATTTCGTATCAAAGCTTCTAAATAGCTGGTCAAAGGGGAATAGTACTTGCCATTCACTCCTGAAGTAGCCAATCAGCGTGCACGAAAAGGATTATTCACTAGTGTGATATATACTAATAAAGAACATAAGAAGTCTAAATAATTTATACAATATCACTCCTTACTGAACATTGTTTTTGGTTCTCTCATAAAATCTCCTAATTTAGTTATACCATCAGCCCCGGAAAATGTCCAAGTTATCTTCGTCAACCGGAGCGCATTGGAGTTACAATGGCAGCCTCCTGTAGTGACTGGTGATCAGACCCACGTGTTTTATGACGTTGACTGCCGTAAGCTGTGTGAAGATGAAGACGAGGACATGTGCGTGAATAACGCTTGTGGGAGTGAGGTCATTTTCATACCAAAAAGGGACGGCCTTAACGTTAATCACGTTATTGTTGGAAATCTATCCTCATTTGTTATCTACACCATGCAAATCTTCGCTAAGAACCGAGTGAGTGAATTGGCGAGAAGAAAACATGGAACTGAAGCAAACTTCGGGGAAATATCTGTGAGAACTAACGGATCAGGTTAGTGAGTTCGTGATCTCATCTATCACACATCGCGTATAGATCGTGTCACATAAAACTATATGTTTTGGTACTTCTTTCGCAGTAATTTTACTTTAAAAATGACTTAGTCTGAATAATAAAAGTTACACAACATCATTCAAGAATCATATTTTCTCAACTAGCACTTCAACCATTCAGCAGCTATGAAACGATATCAAACATCACGAAATTTTACTATAACAACTCAGCTATATGGTATGCTTTCTGTGACCTTCCTGTCAAAAATTCGACCAATCATGCTCCCAAATCTGAATGGGTCATTAAAGTGTTTGAGTAAATCATCGTTTCCAAGACGAACGATTTTGACTGCTGGCCTAATTAAATTCATTTTGCAAAATCTCCCTTTCTTAAAAGTGGATTAATAACGCAATTTTTCTGTTAAGTGTTGATTCAGATATCCAAACCTACACGTTCTCCCACTTTCACTGCTGCTACATGAGATACTTATGATTTCGTCCTTCCCTCCAGGCCCACTAAGGCCACTAGACCTGCAACGAAACAGAATTAATACCTTTGAACAGTTATTGTGTCAGCGCCGAAACTTAAAAGGTCTCATCAGAGTTGATAACCATATTTTTACTCATTTTAACAGGGCTTATGTTTCACGGAATTTATTTTAAAAATCGCCATACGACTGAAACAGTTTCGCAAAAATTAACCACACCAAATTTAATACAATTGACTAGCAATGAGGAAAAGCGCTACGTTGCTCAAAGATGGGCGAAAGCAGGATTGACTGGGGTAATTAAGGATGAGTCAGCTCTTTCCTTCTAGGATCTATTCAAAGAAATCGTCAATGTCCTTCGGTACCATTTACTCTTGTACAGATTTGTTGCAAAGGAACATGTCTAAATGTTTTCAGGTTCGTTTTTTATAATATGATTTTGTTCTGTCTTATTGGCAACAATTGAACAATTGTTATGGAATATTAAAACCAATTGTGCCAATAATTAACTTCGTTGAGATGCAGATCGGTATTTTGAGAATTTTCGGAAAGTTTGGTTCCTTTTAATACACATTTTTGGTCAAATCGCAAAATAATAGTCCCGCGAAACATGCTCGTTCAATTTTTTGTGAAATCAAGTGTCCGCGAAAAATAAGTAACAATAAAGTAGATGACTGAAGTTCTCTTTGAAAAACCTAGTTCCAGGTAAACCAGAAGTGTTCGTCGAACAACCGAAAACGGCTGTTGTTGTATCTTGGAAAATTAAGGTCAAGAACGGTATCCTTAAAGAGTACTACGTGACTTCTGTAAGAAAGGATGACTTGTCAAAAACCCAGACTCTTGTTACCAAGAAAATGGAAGCGCAGTTTGATTTAAAGGCGGGAAAAACTTATCAATTCCAGGTAGACAGAATTCTTTACTCTAGTTTAAATTGGATTAAAATTATTAAAAGAAACTTTCGGGAATATAGGTATGAAAAAAAAAAGGTATGGTTTATGCAATTGAGTTGTTGTATAACATTCAGCTAAGTTTACTTCGCAAAAAATAGAAATTCAGTTTGAAGTAGTCAGTAGTATAACAGCTTTTAATATTTACTAAAGAAGATTGTTTAAAGCAACCTAAACTCAAGGTGATTTTCCTACAGTACTAAGTAATTTTTTTGATACAACATATAGATCTGTATCATTAGCTAAGCGTAAACTGCTAGTGGGAAGGTTTTGCACCCTTTCCTTCATAGGAAATATTCCTACAGTTTAACAACACTCAAAGTAGCCAATGTTTTGCTCTTGAGAAAGAAATCTCTTAAGATACTTTTTAATTTCTTCTCCTCCGAGGTATTCGCTATAAACAACTTTGGTTGGGGTCCTGCTGGTGTGAAGACGTTCACACTAAGAGACGGTTAGTTTTTACATCGTTAATACGCCAATCTACCCATAAGACTGACATAATTGCTAGGATGCAGTGACACCTACCACATCCAATCGAAGACCACTTTGAGCAGGCTTTGTTGCGAGGCCATTTTTCAGGCTCTAAGACGAAAACACTAAAATAAAAGTGTTTGCGTAGAGAATCGTTAATTGAATGTACAGACTATCAAATAAAATAACACGAACACTGATGGGATAGAATGGTGAGGATCAACAAGTACATTAAAAGACAAACTTTTCATAGGGCCTAAACGAAAAGTAGTATCTGGTCTGACTTAATCAGCTTTCCTGTCACTGTAATAAATGAAACATTCCTCTCATTCACCCGACAGAGCCCAGTGTCACCATGTATCTCAATATCATCTATGGATTGGTTGGTTTATTGGCTCTTTGCATCGCGTCTTTCACCTGTTACATCGTATACAACAGGTCAGTGGGGAAACTTTAATGAAACTCAACATGAGATAAATATTCCTGCGCAGAAGACGTCCTCTCAGTAGAGCTGTAAATGTCTTAGCAAGATTTTAATTAATAAAGAATACCATAAGCTCAAGGGTTGTTCAAAGAATTCAACAAGCCTCAGTAGACTGGGCATTGACAGTGATAGTGCCGATGCGTCTATATTGTGGTTTAAAAGTTGTTGATGCTTCGTTTCCTTTTAACCGTATACCCAAATGATAATTCGTGGTGGCATCTTGAATTAAGTATCTTGCTATTTTTTTGTCAGATGGAACCGTCGAGGAAATATAAACCGTGGAAAAATTCCCAAAACAACAAAATCCAGTGCTAAGGTTTATGAGAGTAGGTTGCAATATTATGTAATTTTTAGTTCTTATTAACCGAGCGGGAGGTCTTTATGGGAGAATCTTGACCGAGGTCACCAGAACAGACCGAACGCAGTGAGGTCTGTACCAGCAACCGTGGTCAAGATTCCCCCATACAGACCGACCTAGGTCGGTTAATAAGATGGTTATTATATGGCTGTAATTTGAATATATCAACAAAGTTGAAATGTAAAATTGGCCACCGTTACAATTATAAAAGCTGACGTTTCGAGCGTTAGCCCTTCGTTGGAACGAATAGGGGAATTGTGGGTTGTGTGTGCTTTTAAAGGCAGAAAAWGGAGCTTCGTCATTGGTGGGAACATGGCAACGACAAAAACACGAATAAATTAGTGGAATGAAAAGCGTTCGTTGATACCTGTGAGATTTAGACTGCCGGTTTGAAAGATAAGCTTTTGTTCAAGAGTTTTCCGGCTTTCGTGCTACCGAAGTGTAAAGAAAGACCGAAGATTGCCATGAGTTGCTTAGAATGGTTAGGTAAATTAAAATGTCTAGCGACTGGTTTCGATGTGTCCTTTTCATTCCTCTCCACGTCGCGAAGGTGTTCTCGGAATCGGTCACCTAGCTATTATATGGCTGTCTTATATGCCAATTTTTTAATATTCTTTGTACCTTTTTTTTCTAGATCGGTCTAGATGCCGGTCTAGGTTGAAAAATCTAGACCGCTTTCAATATTGATTTCAGCCAATCAAATACGTGAATTCGGTAGTTCCCAGTCCTCGTGAGACACAGTCATATAATTCGCCACTTTAGAAACAAGCAGGGGACTGGAACGAGTTTCAAAGCGCAAAGGTGCTTGGGATCGTTACAGGGGACAGAATAAAGTTGTTTATTGTCTCTTCTTATATTTTTCTGAAATTATGGAGGCGAATTTTTGTGTTCCTGGTTGTAATACCAGCCACAGAAACAAACCACCTGATGTTGAGTTTCACAGTCTTCCAAAGTACCCAAAACTGCGTGAAATCTACGATCTTCGTTTGAAAAACGACAACTTGAAGACTAATTCTTCGAACACTCGTATTTGCTCCAGACATTGGGAAGGTGGCACAAAACTGAGCAGGATTCACCTTCCTTCTTTATTTCCATGGCCAAATACCTCAACAAAACGAAGGGACATTGTTCGAAAGCCTATAGAAGAATCTACAACAAGCAGTAAGCAAAAACGAATTAAAATTATAGACGCTACTGGTGATAATACAACCACATGGTTGATCGAGCCATCCTTCGAAGACGCTTCGATCTCGGTTGAATCTAATGTGCAAGAGCCTCATATTAAGGAGATATCAGCCCAAACTGATAATACAACCACACTGTTGATTGAGCCATCCTTCGAAGACGCTTCGACTTCGGTTGAATCTAATGAGCATGAGCCTTAAATTAAAAAGATATCAATCCAAACTGATAATGACATTGAAAAAACCAGGAAAGATTTATTACTCGACGTTTCGGGGTCATCGTGACTCCATTATCAAGAGACTAGTTTAAAAACATGCAAATAAGGAAAGGTACAAGAATAGCATAAATTAGACTGAACGGCTTAAACAAACACCTTGGCGCGGATGGAATCCGTTTGCACGTTCAGTGTTGGCTTACGCATGCGAATATACAACATTTCATTAACAAGGCAATCAAATTTGCCGTTACATTTCGTGATGACGTTGAATTGCTCGATCAAGCGTTCAGGCATTTCACTATTGTGCTGGAGGTGGTAGTGTTTGTAGATAGAAGATGATTTCCTT